TATATATATATAATATTAATATTCTCTTAGCCAAATTTTTTATTTTCTTAAAATGTATAATATTATAACACTTTTGTAATAAAATATTTGCATTTTGTTTTTAGAAGCATAGTTTATAACACAGAATATCTGACAGAAAAAAAGGAATCATTTTTGGCTTGTTAACCAAAACTAAGAAGAAGAAAAAAAAGGTCAGTAAATATTGTATTTTTATTGTATATTGATATTATATACTTATATTTATGTATTTATATGCTTATATAATTTTATTTTACTAATTAAACTTGTTTATTCTATTTCGCGTTGTTTTGAATTTAATCCATTAAAACTTAAATCTCAGTTTTTCAATCATGTGTATACTGATACAAATTTCTTCTGAAATCAGGCAAGGTAAATAAAAAAACATCTGAAAGTTGTTTTAAAAATCAAAAAAGTTAGAAAAAATTATTTAAACCTAAAGACTGGTAAAAATTCTTCAAAGTATAAACTAATACAACAAAATATCCTTGCAATGGCATTTTATATTGTATTTGATAAATTATTTGTTCGAATGAAATCAATTTTGCATATAAATGATTGAATAAGCTAATCATTTTGATTAACTGCTTCTGAGTTTGGTTTGAGAATGTAATAAAAAAAGATATTTGGAATTAAATGCCTAATGAGTGATGTCATTTATTCGAATTTAAAAGAAAAAAGTATCTAAATTACGTAAAAAGAATACTTCCTTTAAAACATCAATGCAAATGTCCTTAAAAATGAAAAAAAAGTTCCCAGAAAAGGAAAAAGGCAAAAATGATCGGTCTTCTATAAGCAGTCGATATGAATGGTCAGTCGATTCAGCTATGGCTAGTCGATACGAATTCCGCATCCGGCTTGCACCGACCACACTGGTAGATGGATCATGGGTGAGAGTCCCCTTGTCATCGAGCTAACTATGGGAGGTTTTTGTGACTTTCCTCTCCGTGTAACGCAAACTCGGGTTAGTTCCATCAAAAAGCCCTCCACAAAGGCGAAATTTCTTCCAATACTTGATCCAGGAGTTTCTTTGTCTTCTGGATTTTATTCAAAATTACAAGGTTACGGAGTTGAACAATAGTTGTCGTAAACGCAAAAAAATTAGGTCGGCTGTTCAACAACGGTTTATAAAATAAACTGAAATTTATTTTTTAAGAGATTTTTCTTCTAGTACAAGAAAGAAAAACAGACTTAAATTTAATTACGATCTCTGACAAATGTTATCTTTGATTATTATCATTATTTAAAATTTTTTTGAATAATTATGAACGAATTTACGAATTTAACGCTTTTTATGGGCAGAATATCAATTTTCAATATTTTATACAGAAATTTTGGCAGAATACCAATCTTCAGTATTGAAAAGAAGCCTAAGTATCGAAATAACAGACAAGAATGAAAATGCAATTAATAAACTTTTTAATTAATGTAAGTAAAAACAGAAATAGCACAGATTTGTAAGTGAAAGGTTGCTTTCTCGTTTTCAAGTAACACTTATTTTTAGTTGAAAAATTATTTTCTCGTTTTAAGATAGTTTTATTATAGATTTGTTTTTGATTTTTTTTTCTCGTTTTCCGATAGCGCAGAATTGTAGTTGAAAAAAATACTTTTTCATTTTCAGAGAGCACATATTTCTAATTGAAAATTTGTTTGCTCATTTATAGCACTGATTTTTAGTTGAAAATATCCTTTCTCGCTTTCAGATAACACTGATTTGTCGTTGAAAAAATGTTTTCTCATTTTCAGCTTAAGAATTTTTATGAAAAAGGGTTTTTATTGCTTTTTTTTTCTTCCTTATTTATTGATTTGAACAATTATAGTGTGTTGCCTGATTGAAAGCTTCATTCGCTTCACATAAACACAAATATGAAATAATAGTCGACATATTTCAATCTCTTCGAAAATAGGCGCCTATTTTCAAGACGTGAAAGTAAAGAAACGAAAATGATTTGAAATAAAAAATTTAAAGTTGCTAAAGAAAGATAGAATAAATAAAGGTAAGGAACAAAATTAAAAAATTCACAGATGCCGAGAGATAATAAGGAAGAAAAACAGAACAAGAAAATTATAGTGGCGTTGAGGTAAATCAGGGTAAAATGCATATCCAAGCGTTATGGAGAGTTGGGAAGAAACTAATGTTGTTAACTAGGGCAGCATTCAAATTAATAAAACAAGATTCCAGGGCACCGAGATGAGTTTATGTAGCATGGGTGGAAATAATTTAAGCATTTGAAGCGCTTGAAATATATCGCCTACTATTTAATATTTATTTCTGATGTAAATGAAGTTTTTTTACATTGTGATTTGAATTTTCTTTTTTCATATTTAGGTAAACAACAAAAATGCATAAATCATTTAGTTATATTCCAAAAAATCAATTAAAATATTTCTTTTCAGATTTTAAACTGGTCCAGATAAATACTACTTTCGGAGAAGGAGAAATTTAAGCTGTGCAAAATGGCGAATCTCGTCGAAAGAAGAGCCTTCAATATTATGGGAATTTTCGACAGTTTGGGAGAACATTTGAATACTGGAGGTAAGGAAACAATTATTTTATTTCTTTAATTTATTGTTTTCTTGTATAAATTTCAAAACAATAATCGTTCTAACAAAAATAGTGTAAGTCTAATAATTATGACGTTTTATATTTTTCTAAATCAACTACATTACTTTTATATTAGATTGGTTTTTGTCGTAAGCTATTAAGGCACTGGGGGCGTGCACTACCAACCACCACGCTATCCCGATCCCCATTAGATTAGTGTTAAAGTTTATTAAAGTATCTGGAACAAAGTTTCGGATACTCTTTTCTTAAAATTATAAATACCTCTATCTAATATTTAATCCGCCCACCCTGAAGCTTTACATTTACACGAATAGAAGTAATGAATTATGAAATGAAACGATTTATTATTTTAAACTCCCTAAGCACAGAATGGTCTAAAACGTAGATTCCTAATGTGGGCACTACCCGGGCGTTGAAGGCTTCTAGGAGCAGGTCGGGACTTTCTGGAAAATTTGCACAACTTTCAGAAAGCTTTAAATGCATATTAAAATTAATTTTTTCTTTTGTTTTGCATTTTATTAAATCTTTACTAAATAAATTGCTATTGCATATTTAATAGTCTGGAGTTATAAATATATTTGTTAATTATTCTTAACCTTCCCTATTTAGAACAATACTTTATAACTTTAAGTATTATTTTAAACATAAAGAGAGTTTAGCAAACTAAATTTACTTATTTTCAACTAATTGTTAATTTTATATTTGTTAACTATTTGAAAATAAAATTTTCGTAACATAATTGTTTTTTGTTATTTGCTGTGTATAATCGTCATGGTAAAAATGTTTTAGGTTTTTCATCAGTTGTAAACATTCAAAAAAATGTATTGTATGACCAAGAAAAGTGATAAAAAAGAAAATAAAAAAAGATTTTTTTTCGTTGTAACTATGTGCTTATACTCTCAGAAAAATTGGCTGAAAGTTGATTCATATTGGTGATTTAAATCATAGCATTTTGCAAATTTTCTGCAAACTAAATAATGTGTTATTTTGAACCATTTTTCAATTCAATTTTGAATTGAATCATTTTTTATTCAAGTCATATTAACAACGTGCCATCAAATTGAAATTGGTTACCTTACGCGATAGAAATGCTTTGATTTGGGACCAACAAGGTTGAAGGAAATTTAGACGATATAGCTATTCAATTCCATGAAGAATTATAAACCATGAAAAAAAAGTTAAGTTTTTCATAAATAATTAATTACTACTGCTAATTAGTTATTTATGACGTGTTAATTAATTATTATGAACAAATGAACCAATTCCCATAATTTCTGACAAATAATAATAATAATGCACTGTTAAAATTTTTTAATCACTGTTGAAGCATAATTTACTTTAATCACATCATCATATCATGCTGAAAATTCAATTTTCACAGAAGCATAGGTCAAGTAAACACCTTACAGCGGATTTGCAATTGTATCGATATACATTAAGTCGGCTCAGCTTACTGTGCGAGATGAATCAGTTCAACGTTGATGCAATTTTTTATAAGAGTCCACTCTTGTCAGTTATTTTTCAATCAAGAACAATATTTCTATTGAATAAAAGAAAAGATTTTCATCCCAACAATAAACAATAGATTGCTAGATTGGTATTTAAGAGCTAACTAATGTAAAGTGAAAGGAGTGATTAATATCTTCATGCTGGGAAAAACGTCGCTGGTGATTTATTTAGTAGCGGTGTATATAATTTTTCTTTAACTTCCTTCCTTAACAATAGAGAATAGAAAAAATAAATAAATAAATATTGATAAGTGTATCATGCCAGAACAACTAATAATGAGGGTTAAGTACTTGGCATAACATATCAAGGTCATTATGCCGGGGGCAATTAGAAGTAAATGAGCCAGTAGATGGGTTCATTTGTATTTTAATGGGTTAAAGTTGGTGTTATTATCATTATTATTAGCGTGAATAGATAACAAAAGGAAGTTTATGGATTATATAAGAATATAAATAAAGTTTTTTTTTCCTCAAGTGATTTACTAATGAAAAAAAAATTTGCGTATTAAGGAATTAATTTACATTAATAATTATTTTACTTTCTATTCAAACAGTTAGTGATAATTAAACTCACATTTTCACAGTTGTATATTTATTTTTTTTTTTGTAAAAATAAAAGATTTGGTGTTTTTATTCATTTTCGATGCAGCACACTGTATTTTCGGCAAAAAGTACCGCCACTCAGATTGCCGGTACTTTTTACAGTAAAATCTATGCATTTTTATCGGAACATGTTGCAGAACAAAAAATCTGATAAACCGTAATTTTTAACGTAATTTCTGATAACCGTAATGTTGTATAATTTCGTATTTCCCGGATATGTTGTATATAATTTCATATTGCCCAAATATGTTGCATAATTTCAGATCCAGACTAAAATGTTGTATAATTTCAGATCCAGTGGTAAAAGAATGGTTCCTAGTAAAAAGCAATTTTTGGCCCATTTTCTTAAGTTCAATGTATCTGTTAATAGTGAAAGTAATTGGACCTTCCATAATGAGAGATAGGAAGCCCTTCGAACTGAGAATACTTATGATGGTTTATAATTTGTTTCTTGTTGCCACATATACAGTAACTGTCTCTACGGTAAGTTTGAATTGAAATTTTGGAAATTCAACATTTTCAGGGCTTGGGTAAATCTAGTATTTAGAAAAGTTGTACATTTTAATAATTGTTTTTAAGATGCCTTAATGATTTAAATTTATCAATCATTAATGCTTTAAAGTATTTATGATAATAAAAAAAAATTGAGTTCTCGAATTTTAAAGTTTAGATTAGCTTTTCACAGTCTACTGAACATTAAAAAATATTTCTCTAAGAGGTATACTGCAAAAAAAATATTACCCACACTCAGGGTACCGGTACTTTTTAGCCTAAAATCCATTTTTACTGGAACATGCTACGGAACGAAAAAAATCTTACATACCGTAATTTTTACAATAATAACTACCGTGAAATCACTAAATCACACTAAATAAATTTTAATTAATAACTTCCGTATGATCATTAAATCAATCTAATGAAATAAATATTACTGTAAAAATTACGGTGCAATATTTTACGATAAAAATGGATTTTATGGACCTTGTACTATACTTTATCTGTACTTGACTTCGTACTTTATACCGGAATTTATTCCAGAATTTTTTGCAGTGTACATATTTCAATTAAACTGTCGTCATAAATCGAAAAAATTGGCGAATCGATTAGATACATGGAACCTAATACTTTTGACGAAATACTTATCTGAAAACTAATAAAAAAATAGTCATTTCCTTGACAGAATTTTTTCTCAGTGCAAGAAAATTATTTCATAAAAACCAAATTTTGAAATTTTTTTCGATAATGTAGAATGATTTAACCCCGTAAAATAAATATAAGCTGTAGAAGAGGAATATTATACGTAGTATTTTGGAAAAAACTCCTGCATTTAAGAACATAAACTGGTCAATTAAATGCATAAATCATTCATTTTTTTTCTAACAATGTAAAATGCTCTAGAAAAGGGTTCTCAAAAGAAAAGACAAATAATTTTAAACAACATTTTTTTAAGATCCAATGCATTTGTTTGCTTGAATTAACCTAATTCACTACGTCACTCAAAATGAAATCCATGAAATATTATTATTTTAACATATTATAAACATATAGATATTGCTAAATATATTGGTTGATAGAAATCTAAACTCTCTAATTAAAAACTACTAGCTGAATACCCTTACAAAAAATATTTTTGAGGTTGCTTTGAGGTTGACAGATGTAAAAAAAAATACACCTGAGATAGAAAATGGGGTTATGTTTTGCACCAAACATAATCTTTTTTAAAAAACCTCAATTTCAACCTCATTTAGACCTCACAAAATCAACCTCATATATAATTCCGAAATAATTTAAGCTTAAATAGGGGCAAAATTATCCACACCCCAAATATACGTATTTGATTGAAGTGTAGAAAAGATAATCCATACACCTTAAAACAAACCTCCCTAAGCTGGTTGCTCTAAAGTTCCATCAACCTCAAAACAATCTCAAGTGTGAATAAAACAACTTCATACACTTTGATTATTCATCTCAGAAGGCTGGTCTTTTTAGGTTTTTTTTTTTTTTAAATAAACTTCGAATAAAGCTCGAAACAACTTCATATAAACCTCAAAAATACCTTAAACTTTCGTAATGGTATCCTCTCTTCGTACGAGGTAAAAGAAAAGTAAATAATCGGTAAATTACTATTAATGAATACTGCGAAGCCAGGCACAAGACTGAAAGGCATAGACCGACACAATTATTTAAGCTAGCGTAATTTCAATTTCTTTTCATTTACTATTACTTGTTGCACTTTCCAATGAATGCACGCTATTGAAATTAGCAAAACACGTTTATAGAAGTTTATCCTATCAAAATAAATATTTACCGTATCACTTGGCATTATTAGCCTACTCACGATAATCAAAATTAACCACAATCAAGCGATTTTTTCTCCAGTACTTATCTGTTTCAGGAAGCCTTAAAAACATAACACAATAGTACTTATATTACGCGCTTTGGTACCTACATAGGTAGTACTTAATTAATTAATTTTGTTTATTAATATACTTAGTTTATTAATATATTTGGTTTATTTATAAATTTGGTACCTTTTAAAATAGTACTTTTCTAACACAATACCAGTAGTAGTTACAATCACAATTCATTAAGCATCATTAACATCAGTAATTGAATAGCAATTTCTTAGAAAGTTTTTCTTCAATAATTTTTCAATTTGTTCATAACAATTTATAGTTTTCTTTATTTCAATTGTATACTTTCAAATGATGTGGATCAGCCAATCAGATTCGCTTATCAGGTTACGTCCTTTGCAGGTATTCAATTAAATCTGATCCGAAAATTGTTTCCGTATGCTAATGAACCTAAGCCTTAAAGCTGTAATGTTAACATGCCATCCGTGATTAGACATAACCACGTGATTAGACATGCCCATGATTAGACATAACCATGTGATCAGTTATATCAATATATACAAGTATCCAATGTATTACCATGTATAACAAGTATCCAATTACCATTGATAAAAGACGAAACAACACCCTTTTTGCAAATGGGTAATATTAAAGAATGGACAATGAACTCTATTTTATTAAATAAAGCTATAAACTACTTATACTAACTTATATGCTTAAATGCTTAAAAAAACAGACTCGTTCACAGTATAATTTATAATGAAGCTAAATGTAAAACAGAAGAGAAAAATTCATTTTTCAAACTTCCTTCTGGAACGAACTAATTGAAGTTTTCAGAATCAGGGGCTAAAATGGCTCCGTGCCCCCTATGTCCAAACTTCAGGGTCTTAGCGCAAACAGTTCTGGAATTATAAGAAAACAGGTTGATGAGTGCAGACTCAGAGCACCACTATAAAATGTCATAGAAAATTGTGAAAATACAACATAGATGAATGAGCGCTATTTTTCAATGAAATACATTGTATTTCATTTGATTTTAAATTAGACACGCGCCTTTGCGAAAGCCTTCTCTCAAAATGTGACAACTGAAACAATACTAGATGAAATATATTAATCTTTTTTACATTGAATATATGATTTATATTATAATTAATTTCAAGGTATAACTGATTTTTTTTTTTTTGGATTTAAATAGGTCCTGTACTGCATCAGACAAGTTGATAGTAGTGTTCTTTGTAAAGATACTGTTGTGATATACGGTACCTGCACTTACACGGTAAGATAACTGTTTTCTTTACAGTTCCAAACATTTTATATAAAAATTTTATTAGATTACGCTAAAGAATTTTTTTAATCTCTTGCCTAAGATATTTCAACATATCTTAAATAGTCTTTCATTGCCGATTTGTTGCTGCTGTTTCTATTGCTAATTTTCAATATCCACAAGCCTGCTAAGGAAACCAAACGAGTTTAAGGCAGATGGTGCATTTCTTAATTTTCAGTAGCACGATATAATTTTAATAATACGATTTCAGGCACACATACGTCATAGTCCGTCTTACAGGGAGGACCCACTCATACATCTATTCATACATCATCTCATCATCTGATCTTAATTTTGATCTGAACCAGAGAATGATCAATCTCCAATTTAGTGTCCTCAGAGGTATTAATATGCTATGGAAACTTGGAGGACTTTGCGATCCCGACAGATTTAACGCGCACCAGTTAATACACGACTTTTTTTTCGGCCGGTGGGATTCGAAATCCCTTTCTCACGAACACAAGTCCAACGTCCTACCAACCAGGCTATCCCGATCTATCACTGATTTAAGAATCTACAGTTGGTTTCGCTCTCGAAGCTCCAGTGTTTTTAAATCAAATATTTGGTCAATTTTTTTGTTCAAATGTACAAATTTAAAATCGTTGCATGTAAAATCGGACATGTAAATGCTGCGAGAATTTTCTAGGGGATTAGGGAACATCATTAAAACTTAAATTGCGGAAAGGTTGTCATACGCCAATAAGAATGTTTCTCTATTACGAACTTTTTTTCATGTGCTTTTGAACAGACCGTAATATCGAAACGCCTCTAGCCCAGTAGACTGCATTTCCAGGCACAGGTTTAAATGCAATTTTAATCCGGATGATATCGCCTAACTCCCTTAAAAGTTTATTGCAACATTTATGTCCTTTCTTTTATATGAAACGTTCTTGAACTTGTAGGAGCTGACAAAATATAGTTTAAAATCATCATTTAAAAAAATTCTGTAGTTGTAGGCGCAATACTAATTTCAAATTTAAACTCCCTACACCGGTATTAGGCAATATTAAGTATATGTATAAATCCAACAAAAAAAATTGTATCCCAGTGTTATTAAACTATTAGAGTTTCTATCATTAAATTTTGTTTATTTAAGAGGTCTATAATTGGTCAGTTCGAATCACCAAGTGTAAAACTATTTATATCTGGATCCTGTACAGCTAGTTTATATTTAAAAAAAAATGATTTTATTGTTTTCTTATGTATTTTAGATGGCTGCTTGTGGATGGATTATCTATATGTTAAAATATGTAGAATTCTTAGATACGGTAAGTAATGACTTAAACTACATCTTTCCAATCCATTATCCAAATAACACAGAAATATACCTCACTCGAATATTTCAATTCGTGTCTGATATCATTATAATATTGTTCGGATATTTCTATTCTTTTGGTAGTATGAATTTTCAACATATTTGAATGATCTCATTCGAATATTTCAATTCGTGTCTGATATTATTATAATATTGTTCGGATATTTCTATTCTTTTGGTAGTATGAGTTTTCAACATATTTGAATGATCTCACTCGAATATTTAAATTCCTGTTCGATATTATTATAATATTGTACGGATATTTCTATTTTTTTGGTAGTATGAGTTTTCCACATATTTGAATGATTTCACTCAAATATTTCAATTCGTGTCTGATATCATTATAATATTGTTCGGATATTTGTAATCTTTTGGTAGCATGAGTTTTCAGCTTTATAACTCTCCTTTATAAAAGAAATTTCGAGGAAAAAACAAGGAATATTTTAAACCAGGAACAATAACAAAAAAAAATCATAAAACATAATAGAAATCTGATATCAGGGATACACCTATTGAAGTTCTCTACAGAGAAAACATTTGTAAATATTGGTTACACTTTAATTTATTGATTAATATAAATATTGATAGCAAAATGCTATCAATTTTGGCGATAATATATTAGTTACACCTTAATTTATCGATTAGTATCAATATTGATGGCAAAATTCCATCAATTTTGACGATAACATATTGATTACATCTTAATTTATCAATTAGTATTAATATCGATAACAAACTTTTATCAATTTTGACGATCTCTTAGGAAACTAAACATTTTGGAAGTGTTTATCTGTAGGCTTTCATTATAAATAAAAATATTTGAACCTCGAGTCAAGTTCAATTAAATAATTTTTACTTCACATATATTTGATTTTGATATCTATGTGTAAAAAAAATTTAAGTTATTATTAAAAATTATCATTCTATTTTTTTTTTTGCTTTGACAAGAACAAGTAACAATAAGATTGAAACAAATATTTTCTGATAAAGCAAAAAACGAAAATTTCTCTATGAAAGTAATCAATTTTTTAAATCAATTATTTTCTTTTTTGTTATGAATGATTAAATTGATGATTATGAATAATATTAAATATGATTCTCTTCATTCCAGATATTTTTCGTATTGAGAAAAAAAGACAATTTGATAACAAATCTTCATGTGATACATCATTGTGTACTTCCTCTTTGCGGTTGGGTGTTCTTTAGGACAGAAAGAAGTAATTAAAATTTTATATATTTTTGGTTAATTGTCAATCGTAACTAACATCTAGCAATTATTTTTAAATAATCAGTAAATATTTATGTTAATAATGACAATTATTTTAAAAACGAAAAATTAATGCATATATAAATTTGACTAAAATATGCTTCAATATATTTTTGCGTAAATATATTATATTTCAAGTTTGTACTTCATATGTGAATAATGAAATATGGTTGTACAGTTGAACTGCAATTAATTTAAGCACTATTTATTGTAATATCTTTATGAGAACATTTATTAAATTTGAATCATCGTACCGTATTTATTCTAGATGTCTATAAACATTTTCGAATAATCAAAATATAATAGATTACACGAAATTAAACTAATTCATGATTATTTTCTCTGTTATAATAAATTGTAAATTTTTACGAATAATGATTTGTGCATTAATTAGTTTAATATAAAAGTTTTTGTTCATTGCCGAAATGGGATATATATATATATATATATATATATACACACAATGTAACACAGAAAACGTATCTATTGCATTGCGAATGTATTAAATAAGAATAGAGTATTCAAAGAGAAATTTTGAGTATTTGATTTCGAAAATAGCACAAAATCTGGTAGTTTAATTGGCGATTTGGTTGCTTAACTTTTATTTTATATTGTCGGTTTTTCGTAATATATATATATATATACATAAAGAGAGAGAGGGGGGGGAGATTTCTGTTGAAATTACCTATTAATCACATCTGGGCCTATAATATATAATATATAGATTGATGAGCACAAATATTACTTCTCTGTTTACATATTTGTACTACATTAATAAGTTATGATCATATCGGAAATTGATGTTAACCTTAATTAAAAATATGATTTTTGCATTGCGAAATGTACTTAAATAGTATAATTGAATTTTTTTTTTATTTAGGACAATATAATAATAAATATAATTTTCATGTTTTAGCGATACAATGTAATGAAATGTAGCTAAATTAAGCTTTCCTGTTTATAAGTAAAATTCACTTATATATTCGATTTTATTTTTAGAATTATCAAAATAATACGCTGCGTAATTTGAAATTAAAAAATAAAAGATGCATTTAAAATGTAATTAACATTTGTTAGTAAGATAGTATTTTTCAAGAAATATTTATATTAAATTTCAATATTCTAATATGATGTCTAATAAATCTTATTACGTAATCTTAGAAAGTAATATTTTTTTGAATGTATGAATCATTTTTTGAATGTTTAATCATTATTTTCTTGAATATAATCTACAGGTGGATTTCAAGCATATCCCATTATCATTAATTCTGTAGTTCACATTGCTATGTATGGTTATTATGGTCTTGCAGCTATGGGTCCAGGAGTTCGTAAATATCTTTGGTGGAAGAGATATCTCACAATCGCTCAAATGGTCTGTATATTTCAGAATAAAAAGAATTATTTATTATTAGTCAGATTTAACTGTTTATCAAAATTTCATTGTCAAATTTTCAGAATCATTATTAAAATTTCTGAAATAGTTTATATAAATATAATATATTTAATTTAAAAGTTGAAAAATTGGTTTTAGATTAAAAAATTTATTAAGTGAAAAAAAAACTGCTTAAATTGCAAAGAAATGTTGTTTATTTTGTTTGTTGTCATGTATGTTTATGAATGAAATCTATAACATTTTCATAAAACCTTAAAATATAAAATACAAACAAATTACACGATTTCTCAATTAGGCTGTATATTTCAGAAAAAGTTTTATTTAGCCACAAAGCAACTGTTTAAATCTCAAACAATTGTCACAATTTCTCAAAAACTCTATTTGCTCAAAACATCTATCACTCAAAAACTAATTTTAAAATAAAATCTTTATTTTTCTTAAGCCGAAAATAAAAATAAAAAAAATAAAAAAATTTATATATCGTTAATTTATTCTAAGCATAATTTAGTCACTAAAAAAGTCAAACATTTCATGTTATTAAAATATAGTGTTTTAAAATATTATCGAAGCATTTTAATGCTAAATATATTAGTGCTCACTTAGAGAACTTCTAGCTTAAAATTATTGATTTCTAAGGTATATTGGTAAAAGCATTTTAACCTGCAAACATAAAATTTCAAGCATTGTTTTAGACACGAACCTGATTAGTAATATATTAATTCCATATGCTAGCATAAATTTTCTATAAAACATTCAAAAGATTTATAAATTAATATTTAAAATCTTTATGAAAAATTTACAAATTAATCTATTTCCTTATTCCTTTTAATGAAAAATAATTTTAATCACTAAATGAATGTTTCAATTTTTTTTTTGCAATTACATTTGGATAGGAAACTTATTTTTATTACATAATTTAATGTGATAAAATTCAACAGTACCTGTGTATAAAATTATTACCAACATACATACATTCGTGTTACAAAAACATAAAAGGCATGGTTAAGCTTTCAATGGCATTGAGTGATGCTAAAAAAATTTTGAAAAAGAAAAAATAAATTGCATTATAATAATATAAAGAGTAAAAAATAATGAATAGTGCTGATTGAATGGTGCAATTTTAAACAATTAATCAACGTGAATTAACTCTTTAAATTGGCCTCAAATTTTAGAGCTCTGAACAATCCTCTTTTGGGATGCCAGCTCAAATGGTCGTTAGCTCCAGATCACACTGTTAGAAATTTCTCCAAAAAATAGTTTAATCACAATTTATTTAATTGCTATTTTAACACATTTAAATAACCATAAACAAGATGATAATAAAACTGCTGATTGTGAAAAAAACAGTTTATTACCTGCGTTCACTTAATATGGTTAAATCACCAGAATTTTATCACCAAAATTTAGGCCACCTAATGAAACTTGCAACAGCTTACTTATTATAGCCGAGATGGCTAATCGGTCAGTCTCATGACCGACCCAACTGAGGCTCGAATCCCAGCGTTGACATCACAGTATTTCCAACTACCCCTTTAACGCACGAAGAACCTCCAGTGTCCTGCACACTCCAATGCCCATTTCTAAACGTAAAGCCTAGCTCCTATGTCCAGTTAATTTTCTTTTTTTTACGGTTTTGTAACCATGTTAGTTGTAAATGGTTAAAAACATGCATAGTTTTATATTCCGGGTATTATAACTATACTAGTTGTGAACGGTTTCAAAAACGTAAAGGTAAAAAACGTTCTTTTCCGGAAACTTTACTGTTAATCAGATGAACTGACTGCTGCCGGTTATTTTACTATAATTTTGGAATGAAACTTCTAACAGTGCGTGTCAGTAAGTACCACACTATTTGAGAAATCTCCTTTTTTTAAATTTTAATTTATTTTCGATAAAGGCAAGGGTTTTTATGATGACGACAATTACACACAACATTTTTTTTTGTTTCGTTGCAATAATAAAAAATTAGAAACATTGAAGATATGTCTCAAAACTGTTTATGGCATAAAGTTTCACAGCCTGAATCGGTATCAAATGTCTTAATTCACGAAATTTAACACTATTTCACAAAACCTACTAATGCCAATAGGCAAAACTGCAGTATTTTAAAACGAGTAACCAAAATGATTTTGGCTAATAAATTTTTTTTTATAGATAAGCGTTTCAAAAAAAAAATATTATTTCTTAAACATAAGTCAAAGAAATGTACTTTTTAATTTGAAATTTTGCTGATAATGTTCATCATATTTTGTGCATAATGTTAAAATATAAGTTTCATGTGCTTATCCCGATAATATTTTTTATATAAATTCAGTGTATAATACTTTTTTAACTGAATTTAAAACTTAATTTTTTACTCATAATTTCTCTGATTCAGTTTATACTCATTCTATGTAATTCAATACATATTTTTTACCTACTAGTTTTATGTTCTAATTGGGAAAATAAATCGTGCTTAAGTTATGTGTATAATTTTTCTTCTTCTTTTTACTGACTTTTGAAAACTCAATTATTTTCTCTTCCATAATTTCAAAGATTAAGTTCATACGTATTCTATGTTATTCCTCATTTATTCTATACTATTATTTTATGTACTAATTAGGATAATATTTTGTGTAAAATATTTTTATTTTTTTTGCTGATTTAAAAGTTATTTTTTTTCTTTCATAGTTCCACAATTTCTGTTTATACTCATTCTATGTTATTCTATGCATATTCAATACTACTAGTGCTATGTACTTATTAGAGTATTCGCATAAATTATATATGTAGTATTTTATTTATTTATTTTTCTACTGATTTTAAAAACTCAATTATTTTTTCTTTCATCATTTCACGGATTCAGTTCATACTTATTCAGTTATATTCTAAACTTATTCCATACTGATAGATTTTTGCACTAATTAGGATATTGTTTTGTGTATATTTTTAATTGTCCTACTGATTTTATAAACTCAATTCTTTTTTTTCTTCCTAATTTTACAGATTCAGTTCATACTTATTCTATTCTTCGTAATGGTTGTGATGCCTGTTTCTGGATGCACCGCTGCAAAAAGCAGCATTTACATAAACGTAGTTGCAGCCACCCTGTTTTTCGCCTTATTTTACAATTTTTACCAGCATACATTCAAACCAACAAAGTCCAAAACCAACGGAGTTCATAAAAAGCGAGAAATTGAAGACAAAAAAGAAGAAAATGGTAACATCCATACCGAAATGTCTTACAACGAAACTTATACGAACGGAAACTCGAAAGTGAAGTGCAACTAAAAGAACCGAAATTTGTTTTCGTCAACAACAACAAAAATGGTGCTTAATTTTTCAGTGGTACTGTTTTCTTGGATTTTTAACTTTTGTTATTGAATGCACATTAGAAACACCTTTAACTGTAATATTAGTAAACATTGCGTGTTTGTACTTGTCTTTTCATGTTATCAAGTGTTTTTATCATCTTTAAAATAACTGAAAACGTTTCCAAACGAGATTCATAGTTTTTAATTGAGTTTCCTAATTTGCAAAATCAATGAAAAAGTTTCATTAAATAACTTATTTTTTGAGAAATTATGAATAAGTTCGCATACAAATCATCCAGAGGAAAATAAAAGACTTTTCTATTTGAATTTCATACATTTTAAAATCATTAAATACGGTTTTTATAACAAAAAAGAAATTAGAAATTTTTAATTTTTTCTTCTTAATTTTAGTTATAGTTGACAATCATCTAAATACAATAAAGTCGTTTCTTTTTTTGATAATAGAATTTGAGAATTATAGAATATGCATGTTGTTCACGTGCAGATTTCATGAGTTATAAAATCGTTGAATATGATTTTGTTACCAAATCTTTTTGTTTACTGTATAAAAAGGTATATGAAAGATTAATAAATATTGCAAACGATTTTCTTCCACACCGAAACAAATGTAAAAATTATTTTTCTTGCATTTGATTTGTTAAGAGCATGTCAGCATAAGACACGCTATTTTTGATGGTCCAATCAAAACCAATGATTTTATGACGTTATACAATTGTTTCATTTTCAAGAACGAATGTTCTCCTTATTTATCGAACTATGTCACCGAATCTAGCATTCTTGCAAGACTACGTAACTATAACTTTTTTAAATAATTCTATGATATATATCGTGAAAGAGATAGCAAGAATTATATTTCTGTCTGATGTGTTTAACTTTTAAAAGCTTTTATTTTGTCTTGAAAACATATTTGTATAATCTGATGACGAAATAAAACGGAACTATATGCAGTCGCGGATGATTACTTAAATCGTAAACCGCAATGGTCTTTTCTTAACTAGCAACAAAGTAAGAACGTTTTATTTAATGTTTAACATCGTTTGAATTAGTTTTTTACTATTCAATATTATTCTTCTGAAATTTTTGTAGCATGCGTAGCTTAGTCCCACACTCTTAAATTCAACGTTTTTTTTTCTTTTCTAAAAATATATGTATATATATATTATTTATATATATATACGTTTCTTTTTAACTTAGTAAACAGCTTAGTTCATTTTGTTGAAGTGTAGCGTTTATGATCGATGTTTCTTAAATCACTTGTTTTGCAGTATAATGAAAGAAAATTCGTAGTTGAAATGCTTAACTCCGATTTCAATCTACAATTTTCACCAAATGATTGTTTTCTGTTATGTTTTATTTTATTATTATCTACTAAATTGTCAATAATGTGTAATAAACTTATCACATTGAAATATATCTTCAGCATTCTGTAGTTTATTTAATTCTTCATAATTTTCTAATATAAGAACATACTACATTATATATATATACATGTATAAAACAATTACAAGTTACAAGATTGTAATTTGAAGGGAAAACAAAAGTTCAACATATACAATTAAATTTCTATATCACAACATTGCCAGGCTGCTAATAACTAAAAGAATATTTGAAGAAAATATAAATCAAAATGAATTAGCTGCCTGACATGATTCCGATAAAAACGTTATCACAGAAGCAATAAAAACAATAGCAATAATAGAGGGCGCTGGCAGAATAATATAAAAGGGGGTGCAACCCTCTAACAAACTACCCCCCTCTCCAAAAAAAAATATTAAAATATTATGTTATTACATTTTGTTTTGTTATTACATATACTTTCATCTGTTAATTTTTTCAAGATGCATTTCCTCATTGCTAACAAGATATTTAAAAAAAAAATTATGAATTTCTTGTACTTGCAAATTTTGCCACGAGAAACTTTATTGATGGCACTGCATGGCATAGCTACTGACTCTGAAACACAAGTAACTACAAACAGTAGTTGGGTATACTAACGTGTTTGCGCACTCTTAACATTGGTATTTATTGTGTTGATGAAGTTTTACAGTTGTGAGAAGTCAGTTTGTGTTATACACCTTTGTTAAAACTAAATAACTAATAGAAACTATAATATTATTTATATTTTATTAAATGGAATTTAAAAATATAGCTTAGATATCTGCCAAGTTTGTGCATGCTCATTGTGCATAAGAAAAGAATCGAAGATGACTCAGAATTCATTGAAAAAGTTATAAACAGATTTGGACAGCAAACAAGACGATTACAATTCTTGTTTGATTAAACAATTTTTTAATTGTTATGCATCATTAATTACTTAATTACTTGCTCTTGAATAAAAATATTTCTAATGAGAATTTTTATAACAAAATTGTTTTTCTGTATCTCTTTAATTGTTTAAAAAAAAAGACAGAGGTTGCAAGTGCACCCTCTTGCACCCCGCTGCTGGCACCCTTGGCAATGACAGGAAATCGTGATTAATCTAAACGGCAATTAAGCATTACACAGAAGAAAAATATCTTAAAAAGAAAGAGTACAACAATGGAAATTGAAATGGAATCGCTGATCGACATGTCATCGTCATTAGGGGGGGGGG